GAGCCGTGGCACCCCCGAGCTGACCCTGGTTCCTCGTTATCCGCCAGGACAGAGCAGGGCCGCACAGCAGAGCGCTGAGGTCATCTGGGTGCCCGCGACTGCCCCCTGCCTACCTGGATTCCCACTCACCCCCACGCAAGACCCGCAAGGAGCGCACAGCATCTTCTAAAGGCCAGCGCCACGCCGAGCAGCGAGCCACGTCCTCCCTGTCACAGTAGCCGGGAAGTCCCACCGCGACTTAGGTTGGCTGATGTCACCTCTCTGCTCAGAATCCTCCAACGCCTCCCAGAGTCAAAGCCAAGGCCAGCCCTCTTGGGGTCCGCGCTGGAAACCCCAGCTCCTCCTCCGTCCCCTCCCACACTCTGCTCCGGCCACAGGGGCTGCCTTGCGGTTCCTCCTGCGGCTCTCCAGACTCCCAGGTCCCCCCCCCCCCCCCATTCTGTCCTTGACTGCCATGTAATGATGGATCAGCCCCTGGTCTCGTGGGTGCTGACAGCTCCCCGCAGGAGGGGTTTTTCCTCTGCTTTGCTTCCTGTTGCATCCCTGAAGCCCAGAACAGCACCTGGCACAGTGAATTAGTCCAATGCAGGAACAAGTGAACGTACGACTTCCCGCCCACCACTTCTGCGAACCTGCTCCAGTGCGGCCGCGGCTCTCCCACGCAGGGGCGTCGCAGCAGCAGATACGCCGCACTGGAGCGGGTGCGCGTCCGGAACCACTTCCTTCCTGTCCCCGGCTGCCGCTGCCCGTGATTCCCGCAGCACTTGTGATCATATCGGGAACGTTCTGGTACCTCGTGGGCCAGGTTTCCTGAAGGCAGCAATGACAGGGGTCTCACCCCACGCTGCACTGACACTCAAAATGATACAGGATTTTGGTGGCTGCGGCATCTGGGGACAAAGTCTTCAGGGATGAGTGGCAGTGACAGACAAGCACGTCCAATCACAGCTATGCTCCAATATGGCCAAGGTCACCTGCTCTGCGTGGATGCCCTCAAGATGGAACTACTGCATGGAGCCGGCACTGGTAAGCTGCCGCTAGCACACTGCCACCCCGTATCAGAGCAGTGGCTGGAGTCCTGGCTGCTTCACTTCTGATCCAGCTCCCTGCTAAGGCACCTGGGAAAGCAGCGGATGATGGCCCAAATACCTGGGCCCCTGCCACCCACGTGGGAGACCTGGATGAGGCTCCTGGCTTTGGCATGGCCCAGTTCTGGCCATTGCGGCCACTTGGGAAGTGAACCAGGGGATGCAAAATCTAAGTCCGCCTTTCAAATAAATAAATCCAAAAGAGAGAAAGAGAGACAAACTGCTCATAAGGACTTAATAGTGAGGCCAGAAATAAATGCACCCAGGTCTGAAAAGATGCAGCTCAGAAGAACTTGGGGTCTACAGGAATCAGGGGGGAACAGGACCCTCCCGATGGGCCGACATTGGCCAATATCTCTTTCCCCTGGAGGCCCTCGTCCTCCTCGCTGCCCCCACCCCCCAATCCTGGCTACCTGGGCCTGGCCTGGGTAACTGATCCACAGGATGAGAATTTCGAAGCAGACAGGGATCTTAGCAGCCCTTGTATCCCCCCCATCCCCCCTGCACAGGTGTGCTTCTCACTGTGACCCCAGAAGTAGGGACTTTTTCCGGGGTCACGAACCCGCCTCAGGCCCAAGGTGAACAAGGGTGCAGGGGGCGTGGCCCCAGATGTGGACACCTTTGTTCCCCAAGGCAAAGAGAAGCCAGAGGAAGGTGTTTGTCTATTCAAAGACAGCCTGAATTGTAAAGCCCATTGTTCGAAACCCAGGAGGATGCTCCAAGCTCCTAGACGGCTGGGCACCCAGGCGGCCTCTGTCCTGGGTCCAGGCTGCACTCAGTGTGACGGGGACATGGGCAGGGCCACGCTCTCATGTCAATTATCAAATGAGCCTGCTGTGGCCTGGCAACTCCAGGTCCCCCAAGATGGCCTGCTGGACAGACCCCTTCCCGTTCCTATTCCCACCATGACCGAGCCAGTGTATCCGGGTCTGAACCCACACCAAAACTTCTCCCTTCTCTTCCTGTGGCTCTCCTCTGACCCCACCTGGGGCAGCCTCTGATCATGTGGCTCCTCGCACCCGGCTTGTCCTGCTCACCTTCCTGCTGGTCGAAACCCTTGACCTTCAAAAGGCTCAGTCAAACGCCACTTCCTTCATGAAGCCTTCCCGGTTGGATCCCTTGTCACAAAGTAACTGCTCCACTGTGCCCCCACCTGGCCCTGCCCCACTGCCTGTCAAGCCCTCCTCTTTCTTCAGGAGGTGGCCTTTTTTGGAAACAGGCTCTTTAAGGATCATGAGATGAGATTCCTCCGGGATGTGGTATGAGCCCCGAGCCCAGTGACCAGTGTCCTAATAAAGAGAGCACACAGGGACCCCCAGAGGCGGCCCCGTGAAGATGGGGGCAGGCATCAGAGGACCTCAGCAGCCAGCAGCCAGCAGCCGAGGAGCGCATGCAGCCCTCCGGGCGGGGAGAGGCAGGGAGGCCCTCCCTGAAGTGGGGCTGGATCTACCACCCCAGCCCGTACTCAGGATGCGGGCTCTTGTCTGGCCACTGGCCTGATCCTGGACCCAAGGCAAAAGAATCACCGCGAATGCTTCCAAACAATGGCTCCAAGCCATACCCAACACAGACTGTGGAGGATGGCAGGGCACCGCCGGGGGCAGCTTGCGCTCTGTGAATGCTCTCATGGGAGGAACCCAGGAGGGCACTGAAAATAACCAAGGGCCCAGCACCTCGGAGACCCCGCGATGGGCCCAGCCTCAGTTTACCTAAATGCACCTGCGGAAGGACAGAGGTTTCTAGATCATGCACTTTCACGCTCCAGGAACCTCTGTGTCCCTTTAAGAAAAGCCCTTATTTGGGTTAGCTCTGTGGCCTAGGGCGCATTGCCACCCACAAACGTTGCCAAACCTTATCTAACTCAAGGTCACCAGGGAAACTGTCACTACCGTGTTGGCATGAGCTGGCCGTGTGCAGACACCAGTGCACCTTTCCCCCCAGAGCCCAAGCCTGGAAGCTCTCGGCGGGCCCTCCCATGCCCCTGGGCCACCCTCGGCCTCTCATCCCCTCCCTCCACAACTCTTGCCCCTCTGTCCAAGCCTGGGAGTCGTCTCCAAGTCCCAAAGTCCTCTTGCTGGCCCCAGAGCGACTCAGGCAAGCAGCAGCTACTCCAAATTCCCCTCCGTGACAGCAGGCGGACATCATGAAAGAGTAGCTGCGGTAATTGGTCAGATAATTACGAGTTATAGGGCGCGCTGGGGTCATCCTGCCTCGCCGGATGACTGAAGCCGGCGGGACCGCACCGGAGGCTCCCCAGGGCCCCGGGGGTCCTGCTTTGGGGGACCCTGCCACTACTTGCTGGGGCAGGCTCATTTCCGGAATGAGGGTGCCCCCTGGGCTAGGTGGGGCCCTAGTTCCCGGGGCAGGAACTCTGCACAGGATACCCACCCCACCCCCCAGAGCCATCAACTTCTTTCAATTTAGGACTGTTTATAGTCGGTCAAGTTTTTCCAGATTGACTAAGAGTTCCTCCTAAGCCTACTGCAGTCAGTTACAAGAGCAGTAAAAGACCCAGGACTTGAGCCAGCTGGAAGAGTCGGCAAAAGTCTCTGGGGGAGGCAGACCGCTAAGGAAGGACAATCACACGCCGGCGTCCCAAACAATCCCCTCCCCAGGACGGCCCCCTCTGCCCTCCGGCTGCCCTCCGCGGGCCGATTCGGCACTCACTTCCCCTCGCCCGGGGCGACCAAGGGTTAAAAACACTTCCGAGCTCCCCTTCCAACGGCAAGGCCAAGCAGCTGTCCAAACCACCCAAGGAGAAGAGGGAGTCCCGGCCGGCTGGCCGGCCCGGCTAGGAAAGAGTTAATCGGCAATCGGCTCGGGCTGATAGCTCCGGCTCCAAAGTCCAGCCCCAGCCCGAGCCACCCCGGAGGGCTTGTAAATCTCGGGGCAGTATTTAACAGAACAAAAGCAACCTGGAATTACATGCAGGTTTGGTTTTCTACAGTACACATTTACTTAATCCCCAAGGTATGTGGCTCCGTGTCAGATCAGCTGGCTTCACCGGCCGCTGCGCCCTCCTCCTTTGCAACAGTTTGGGTTTCAGACTAATTCTCTGTTTTCCCTCTTCCTCTTCACGGGGCCGGCTGGAGACGGCCCGGCCTGCCGGCGTCAAATCCCTCTCTCCATCGCTCTTGTCACAGGGTGAGTCAGCCGGCCCGAGCTGGGTGACAGCAGGCTGGCCCATCCCACTGTCCCGCACCAGGTCTCCCAAAGCTGGAGCCGGAGGTGCGGGGACCAGGGAAATGGAGAGGCAGGGCCACCTCCCCACAGGAGGGGGAGGGACCCCCTGCTGGGGCTGCCCAGGGGAGGGGACAGGCTTGGAGGTGAGAAGCAGAGCCCGCTGCTCCCGATCCTGGACACCTGGGCCTTCTAAGGGCCCGCCGGCCAGGCTAGACCTGCCAACAGGACTCTTCCCTCTCCCAGGCAGGCGCAGGAGTGCCCACCCTCGTGGGTCTTCGGTGCTGCAGCCGCCCAGGTTGGAGCTGGCGATCGGGTTGCCAAGGAAAATACCCAGCCCCAGCTAGCAGGCGGCTCCCAGCTCCACCAAGGCGCGCACACGCCCTACCCTCACCAGGGTGGCTGGGTGGGGGCTGCAACACCTTCCCCAAGGAGAGCGAGGGGTGCGTCCCCTAAGCTTGAGGATGGGGGTGGACAGCCCCCAACGAGCGGCTCAGCTCCGGACTTGCCAGAAAAAAAAAAAAAAAAAAAGACAGCCCGGCGCCCGGGGAGTGTCCAAGGTGAGCCGCGCCAGCTCGGAGCTCGCGGGGGGCGCAGGGGAGCGCGGGGGCCGGCGCCTCTCGGCTTCCAGGCGCGGATCCCGCCGCGGCAGCAGGTGGCCGCCCCCCGAGCCCGAGCCCCGAGGGTCCCCTCTCGCTCAGCCCCCACCCCCCCTCCCGGGGGGCCGCCTACCTTCTTGGCGCCGCGCTCCGCGAACTCGCGAGCGAGCTGGCGCCCGATGCCTCTGCCACCGCCGGTGATGAGCACGCTCTCCCGAGACAAGTCCCGCAGCCTGGCGGGCAGCAGCAGCCCCACGGCCGCCTTCGCCACCAGGTAGACCATCTGCAGAGGGAACACGACCAGCGCGCCCAGCCATCTCCACACCATCCTGCGCGCCACGGCGCCGGGCGGGGAGCGAAACTCCCCGGCCCAAGCAGAACAGGAATTAAAAAAAAAAAAAAAAAAAAAAGTGCGCCAACAGCAATCAATAAACCGAGTAAAGACGAGCGAGGCGTCCCACCTGGGCGCTCTGGCGATCACCTCTTCCCAGCCAAATGCGAAGCACCGGGCGCGCGCGCGAGAAAATAAAAATAAAATTAAAAAAAAAAAAAAAAAACAGCGAAAAAGCAGAACAAGTCCTCGGGAGCAGAAGCAGCGTCTCGAGGCTGGGGCGGCGAGCGGGGCGGAGGGGAGCCGGCGGGGGCGGGGGGTACAAAGTTCGAACCAGAAGTTTCTGGCCCGGCAGCCGCCTCGGCGGGGCGCTCTCAGGTGGTGTTCACAGCTGCCAGACTTTAGGCAGGGGCAGGGGAAAAAAAAAAAGGCACCAACCACACGCGCGCACCCGGCTCCAGCCCGGCGGTTTCAAAGTGCAAGATTAAAAAAAAAAAAAAAAAAAAAAAAAAAAGCTGTTTCCCCACTTGCGGCGCGTCTGCCCCTTCCCCAGGAAAAACAAAAGTGCAGGGGTGGGAGGGGGCGTGCGAGCGGCGCCGGGCTCCAGCCCGCGCGCGTCTCCCGGCCCGGGGCTATTCTGCGGCTCAGGAAACCGCTCAAACGCAGCCCGAGTGCCAGCCGCGCGCAGCAGGAGCCAGGGGTCCCGGTGTCAGTTTCTCCTGGCTCAGGGCTCGCCCTCGCGCGCGCTCGCTCCCCGCGGCTGCCTCCCTCGCTCTTCCCCAGCGCAGGCTGGGAGTTGCCGCCCGATCCGGCTGCCTCGCTCTCCCCGGGAGCATTGACTGCCTTCTTTTTGTCCTTTCCAACTTGGAGAGGGCCGGGGTGCGGAGCGCGCGGGGATCGGGCGCCCTGCTCTACGCCTCCTTAGCCATTCGCTCCCCAGGCAGCCGCGGCGCGGAGCGAGAGGGCGGCCCCTTCACCCCCCCCCCCATTTTTTTAATACCCCATTAAGTCTGATTGACAGTTAAAGTTGTTCGCAGGCCTCACTACCGTTCCTCTGAGTGGCTGCCGCGGCCTCCCCTCCCCCTGCGCCGTCGCGGGGCGCGCGCCTGGGCGCGCACACGGGCTCGCCGCGACTCGCGCTCGCCCGGGACCGGCTCCCCTCTCTGCAAGCCGGGACTTGCCGCTCGTGGCCCCGAGGGCTTGCAGCTGGCACTCGAACACGCTGGAACCGACTCCGGCGAGCCGGCTCCCTGCCCGAGACATTCCTGCCTGCCCGGGCCAGGTGACCACCCCTGCGTGCGGGGCAGGCCTCGACGCAGCCGGGTCGCCCAGGGTTTATTGGGAGGCGTTTGGTCATCCCCTGCCTGAAGGTGGGAGCAGGAAGCCACGCCCCCGCCTCGGCCCCGCCCCGCCCCGCCGAAGCCCGGAAGGCTTCTGTCTCCCACGAAGGGGTGCCTTCTCGGTCCGATCCGAGCGCCCCTCCCGTAGTCGGGGGCCGGGGACGGTGGCGGGGCCCCGCCGGGCCGCTGAGTTTTGCTCTGGGAGTGGGCAGGGTAAGGCACTTGGGCCCTAACCTGCCAGTCAAATCCCTGTAAGATTCGCTCCTGCGATGGGGTTGCCTTGACTGACAGCATTTTCCCTAATAACAAAAGCCGGTAAACAAGACGTCCTGCACCTGTGCCCGCCCAGGTCTGCAGGCGGCAGCTCCTGGGGCGGGGGGTGCTTCTCAGGACACCTTGGTGGGGGCACCCTCCCTGTAACCTCCTGCCCTGGCCCCCCGCCCCCAGCTGGGCTCCCTGCTGGAGAGTGGAGCTGAGCTGGTGCGCAGGAGTCTGGGAGGTGAGTCAGAGGAGGCAGCCCCAGCTAAAGGTGCTGATGGATCTTGCCTGCGAGTCCTGGGCCCCACCTGCACAGGTTCTGCACGAGGAGGGCTGGGCTCCCGGGACCTGTTTTTAGTGCCCCCCCTGGGTTTGAAAGTCACTTGCAGAGGTGCTGCTGTGCCCCCCAACCCCATGGCTGGTTGACCTCCTCACCCTGTGGTTCTTGGGGGGGGGGGTTCTGCAAGGTGACGAATTCATCTTCCATCCAGGTGAATCGGGAGCCTCCCGCAGAGCCGGGAGACGAGGGGGTTCCAGCGGAAGAGCCGTCCCCCGTCCAGGGCCTGCGTCTGACATTGAATCCTTGGCTGCCCTAGCCAGGAGGGTGTGCTTGTCCCATTTTCCAGGTTACCGGCCAGGAAGTGCAGGGGGGAGGGATGGAAATCCAGACGTGATGGTCCCACCTCACCCTGCTCTGGCCAACAGGGCGGGAGAGAGAGAGAGAGAGTGGCCCACCCTCTAAAAGTGTCCCTGGGGAGCGGGCCGTGGCTTTCGTCTGCTCCCAGGGCATGGCCGATGGCAGAACTCCATCGTGGTGACTACCTCTTCCCATCCTGGAGGTCTGGAAAAATGAGAAAGAAATCCCAGGCCGGAGAGACAGGCCTTTCCCACCCTGCAGTGGCTGGGGTCCGCCCTGCCTATGAGGACGGGGACTGGACAAGTCCCGAGACGCAAGCGCTGGGCACGCTCAGTGAGGGCTCATCTGTTATCCTAGAGGCCCCCTAGTGGCTGCTGTGGGACACTGCGCCTCGGAGCCGTCCCAGACTCCCGGCCTCCTGTGTAGGGGTGCCTGGCCAGGTCGGCACCCGCCGCGTGAAAGGGCTTAGAAAGATCATAGCTTCCTCCCCACGCTGGTTTGTGCTGGAAAAAACAGCACAGAGGCTTCAAGCAGCTCAGAGAAGCCTGCTCGGAGGCCAGACCAGCCCGATGGTCGCTAAGTCCTGCTCGATGTCCCCAGGGTGTGTTTGGGTTGCCGGCTGCCGTGGGTGGGATGGAGACCATTCCTAAACGTTGCAACTTCATTCCTGCCATGTGTGTGCATTTGGTCCGGGAGGAAGCCAGCTCGGCTGAGCTGCAGGGCGGCAGGCGATGCTCCCCTCGGGTTGGGCCGCAGTGAGAGGTAAAGGGGGGGTGGTGAGTTGGACAATCCCAGGGGAGCTGGCCGTTGTAGGGGCCGGCCTAGGGCAGAGAGTGGCCTTATCTACTTGGCCCACCTTCAGGATGTGGGTTTGTGGGGCTGATCCTGGGATGGGTCCCAGGCTTCTCCCAGCAGCCGGGAGAGGAGCTGTCCCCTCCCTCTCACTTTCCTCCCAAGTCCCTGGGAAGTTGGGGGTGAGGAGGCAGCAGGCCACGTGCACAGCTCAGCCGTGCCCCCTGCAGGGCCTGTCGCCTGGCCTCCCGGTGCCCCAGTCCCTTGTCCTGTGCCTTGGTTCTGCTCCCTCCGTTTCCATGGGGGTAGGAGGTGCAGAATTTAACTCCAGGGCAAAGTTTGAAATTTCACATCCCAGGCCTGGGCAGAGGGCCTCCCCGCAAACCCCCCACCGCTGCCTTTTTTTTTTTTTTCAATCCCCTCCTAAAATCCTGAAAGGAGCCTTTGTGGGCGGGGGAAGAGGTGAGGTGAGCTGCAGCCCAGGAGCTCACTTTTTCCATGACTCAGCTCTCCCGGCGCCATGCGGCAGGAAGGTGCCAGCACCCAGCAGGGCCGGCGGGAGCCTGGTGGCCCGGATGCTTCCAGCCCTTTATGAATGCATGGGGCTCTTAAGAGCCAGCCTGCTCTAGGGTTAGGGGTAGGCAGCCCAGAGAGCTGGTCACGTGACCCCCAGAGAAACTGGCTGGTGCCTTGTGAGCCACTGGGCTGTAGCTGCTGTTCCCCCCCCCCTCCCCCGGGGATAGCTCCTCTTATCATTTGAAAAGTAGAGAGACAACCCCAGAGAGATCTTCCCTCTGCTGGTTTATGCAAATCTAATGCCTGCAACAGCCAGGAACTGGGCCAGCTGAGGCCTGGAGCCAGGAGCTCCACGGGGGTCTCCCACGTGGGGGACTGGCACCCTTGCAAGCACTTAACCTTCACTGCTTCCCCTCCAGCGTGTGCCTTAGCAGGAAGCTGGATTGGAAGCAGAGCTGGGACTCGAACCAGGCACTCAGGGGATGCAGATGTCCCAAATGGTGTCTTAACCACTGCTCCAAATGACTCATTGTTCATGCCCCCCCCCGCGCGCGCACATGTGCACGCGTGCATTCCGTGTGCACTGTCACTAACGCTGAGGCCGGGGCCCAGGTGCCAAGAATGAAAGGAAACCAGCCTCGAGCCTTGTCTTCCAGTCTGGGGGGCTTAGAGAATGTGAGAAAGCCCCTCACCCGAGGACTGGCAGCCACCAGGGGTAGGGGTGGATTGGAACGCACACCCAGGGCTCAAGCTCTGCCAGCGTCACTGATGTTTTTCCAACAGACCAGCGGGACAGGATAACCCAAAATGCAGAGCCCTGGGCCGCCACCCTGGGCTTCCAGGATCAGCACCCTCAGCTGGGGGCCCCAGAATCTGCATGCAGGTCGCGGGCTGCCTGGTGGGGAGGGGGCTCAGGCTCCAGCACAGCCTCTCTGTGGCCCTGCATGAAGACTCCCCACCTCTCCCCCCACATTCAAGCTCTTCCCTCCTTTCATTTTACTCTTTAAAGATTTGTTTATTTGGCCGGCGCCGCGGCTCACTAGGCTAATCCTCCGCCTTGCGGCACCGGCACACCAGGTTCTAGTCCCGGTCGGGGCGCTGGAGTCTGTCCCGGTTGCCCTCTTCCAGGCCAGCTCTCTGCTGTGGCCCGGGAGTACAGTGGAGGATGGCCCAAGTGTTTGGGCCCTGCACCCCATGGGAGACCAGGAGAAGCACCTGGCTCCTGCCTTCGGATCAGCGCGGTGCGCCGGCCGCGGCGGCCGTTGGAGGGTGAACCAACAGCAAAGGAAGACCTTTCTCTCTGTCTCTCTCTCTCACTGTCCACTCTGCCTGTCAAAAAAAAAAAAAAAATTAAAGATTTGTTTATTTGAGAGGCAGATGGACAGAGAGATTTTTCCATCAGCTACTTCATTCCCCCAAGTAGCCACAACAGCCAGGGCTGGGCCAGGCCAAAACAGGGAGCCAGAAACTCCATCCGGGTCTCCCACGTGGGTGGCAGGGTCCCACACTCTTGGGCTGCCCTCCACTGCCTTCCCAGGTGCGTCAACAGGAAGCTGTCCCAGAAGCTGAGCACCCAGGCTCCGACCAGCACTCCGGTATGGGATGGTGGCGTCCCAAGCAGCGACTTAGCCCGCTGTGCCCCAAGGCCAACTTCCCCTTCTTCCTCTTGTACTCACGGCCATTGTCATGGCACCCAGCCCTCACTCATTGTTGTTTTCATTCCAACAGGGGAGAGAGACAAGCTGGAGGAGCAGGGTGCGTGTCCAGTCAGTGGGCCAGTCAGCTGCCTTCATCCCCAGCAGGGCCAGGGGCACCCATGAGCGAAGGCAGGTGGCTCGGAAAGGACCTACGCTGTGAGGATCTGGCTTTGGAGTCGGGAGCCCTGGCCCACATTCCAGTCCTGCCGCTTCCTGCTGGGCTCTCTTTCCCTCTCTGGTCTTCACTTCCTGCTTCGTACAGTGGAACTGGGGATGAAGACAGGGTCTAATCCCCTGCAGAGCCCCCTGCCCCCCCACCGCCAGCTTGGCTGTTCCTGGTGGTTTGGTCCCTGCCTGCCAGGAGCCGGCTCAGTCATGAGGGTTTGTGTTTTGTGGGGTGAAGATGGGTTCCCGGCATCCCAGGGCAGAGCTGGCTCCCCATAGCGGAGGCTGGGGTCCACCCACTTCCCAGGTGCCTCCTGCTCCAGACCCTTCTCTTGGGCCGAGTGTAGCCTGTTCGTCCTGCAGGGTTCACTGTAGCTCCGCCTCCCGGGAAGCCTCCCAGCTGTGTTGCCTGTCCCCAAACCCCTGTCCCTCGCGTCTGGCCCAGGGGCCTGTATCTGCCCCCTCACAGCACGAGCCCACCGCCCAGTACCTGCTGCTTTCTTGCCCACAGCTCACACTGGGCTGGGTGCCTCTGCCATCGCTCCGTGCCCCGTGTCACCACCTGGAATTTGTCACTTTATCTTTAGCGCGTGTTTGGAAAGTGACTAATCTGCTGTTCCCCTAAGAGGAAAGCGAATTAGGGACACTGGCTCAGGGTGGAGGTAGGGAAATACCACTCACAGCCTTGTGTATGCCACGCACGTGGGGGAGTGACCGGTGCAGGTGCCCTGTTCCAGATGCCAGGGAGACAGCAGGGGGCAGGGTGGGCACCCTCTGCTGCTTGGTAGAAATGTGATACAAACGCTCTCTGGGCCAGGAGAGAGAGCAGCGCTCAGAGAGTAGGGGCAGGTGGCGACTCGGTGACGAGGCCGGGAGAGGAGACAGGGAGACGTGGGTTGTGTTTAGGGAAGGCTCACAACATGGGCAGAGAC